GCAGGTGGGAGCTAAGGCAGTGAAGGCCGCACAGCGTAGACCACCTTACAGAAGAGCTTGTCTGAAAAATGATAAACAGAGAGAGAGTCCCTAGGCTCAGGGGACACTTAGGCTGAGTTGAAAATTCAAATCAATTTAATGTAGAAGTAGTATGCACTTTTATACATTCTTAACCTTTAGATTCTTTTAAGGATTTTTTTTTGTCTCTCAGTTATACTTCTTATTAATCAGATATTTTCAGTTTTAAAGAATGCCTCTTTTATGCTGGTCATGAAAGCATGGACTTGTTTGCTCAACACTGTGCAGGTGCTTAGTGTTAGGAAAATTAAAATACCAAAATAGCAGTTATTGCAACAGCCAGTCTGTGCTAGGATCACTAACTGTCCATCATCTTTGCTATATGAAAAGTGACCTTTAGTCTGCACTAGGATAGCTAGTTTTCATGTTATTGTAATGTTCTATTATGACTGACTTTATGATATTTATATCGGTGTGTATATATTCCACAAACATGTATTGGAAAACAAAAATATATACAGTCTATAAAGAGAACAGTAATTTCATTATTTCAAAGTTGCATTTCTCTCCAAAGGTAATAAATAATAGTGAATAATGTATATGAAATGTTTTCTAAACTGTAAATACCATACAAATATAAGATGTTGATTATTAGGAAACAAGTATTAGGTAATTAATATGTAGTTACTGCAAATATAATTACAGCATTAAAAACATTCTCAATAAAATATAAACCTAAAATGTGTTAATAAAATAATACCAAGCAGTGGAGTTTCCAAAGGAGCAGGGATACATCAGTACTCATGAAAAAGTGTTTAATATGGAAAATGTTAATAGCAGATATAGTTTAAGATGTTGGTCATGTGATCATCTAAAACAAAAATAATCTATGCAAAAGTGGAGAGCATTTATGCTTAAGCCTCAAGAAAAACCAAAGAATATATTCTTGTGAACATAGCTATTTCCAGAAAAAAGTATAAAAATAATATTAAAGAACTAACATTAAAAATGTAAGAAGTTGTAACCGTCTCCATCACAACAAATTCTTATTGCAGATGCGTCTTCTTGACCCTTCTGTAGTCCAAGGTACCAAAGAGCATATTCTTCCCCATAATAAATACCATTTACTCTTTTACACAATGACTCTGTTAGATACCTATCTCCAATATCCATGTGTTTTGGGGGAGACAGCTGATTCTAGCCCTGTGGGGCTGCCCGCGACAGCCTGGCTGGAGCTGAGCAGATGTCTGTTTGACCTGTACTTGCCCTTTGTACCGTGTTTTACACCAGATTTTTCAGCTCAAATTCAACTGTCTGTGTGGATAACAGACTTGTGAAACTACTTAAGAAAAAAGAATAAGGAAAAGGGAACGTGAGTTAGCCATGCATATTTTCTGT